AGGGAGGAAGCCTAAGGCAACAAAACAGACACAAGTCATTTATGTACAGGAAGAGGGGACAACAGGAGAGTTGTGCAGAAGGAAGGATGTGTGGGCCAGCAGTGCATGGACTGAGCAAACAGTAGCCAGTGATGCACCAACAGCTGCAGCCATGCAGAGGTATGAAGCTTTTGCTTCATATTATCTCATCCAAAAGTAGAAGCAATCTTCAGGATGTATCTGCTGTTTTACTTGTTAATATCTCAATCCCTCAGTATATACATGCCTGCTTGGTAAAGATTAGGTAGAACCCACTTATGCCCCATGTCCTCTGCCATGGACAGCACATGGAGCAGACAAAAGCCATTATGAGGAGCACACGCCTCACAGCAATGAAGCCAGGGAGCCCAAATAGGTATACACATCCTTGATTTGCATCATGCAAGACCATCAGTATGCTCTCATCTTGCCATGGGCAATAGGCCCAGTTCACCTTCCCACTAGCACAAGAAGGTCTTGCAACCTGGCAGCTGTCAGCAGTGGGGAATTCCTGCTCTCTAGGAAATGGGGAGAGGGAAATATAATGTCCATGCAGAGTGGCTACTAGATCCTGGGATGTCATCACAGAATCCATGACAGCTAGCCTGAAATGAGAGTGGACTTTGGGTGAAAATTCTTTGCACTTTCTCCTTATAGTCAGTCAAAGCAACATGACTGTAGGAGGAATCCCTCACATCACTCATCCCCAAGTGGTGCCCACCCTCTCAGCATGGCATGGACAGCATCTGGAGCTACAGCTCATTTTCATATCCTGAGGCAGAAACAGCTTTGAGATAATCCAGACAGGCTCAGCATTGGCCCAGGAAAAGTCCTCAGACAATACTTGCCAGTTCCTTGGGCCGCATATGTGTACCCAGCCTGGCACATCCAGACAGAAGATTCAGTTCAGCCCTCTCAGAAGGGATACCTCTGCATACTAGTGGGTACTGCCTGACTGTTTTTACTGGGACTTTCTTTTGGGAGCAAGTGGTGATAGACAATTTGGATCAACAGACAGGTTTCTTTCCCACTAAGCATTACCACTGTCCCTCTCCCTCTGGAAAATCTGCCTGCAATTAGTTCCCTAGGAGAGGGCTTGCCTGTGCCATTAAGAACAGTTACATTACACTATCTAGGAGAAATCAATGTCTCTAATAGTCAGCAAAGGCAGTGGAGGAGGGCAGGGTGATGGGAGGGGTGTTTCTCTGGAGACACCCTTCTCGGTAGAAATCCCAGAGGTATTGCCCCAGGAAGAGAAATAGTAGAGACCTAGAGTAATTAAACTTCCATGCAGCAATTGTTTACTGGAAGAAGCACAGAAACCACTCAGTGTCTCTCAGAAATGCAGGGGCAGTGACTAGGCTCTCCCCAGGTGCAGATGAAGTGCCTCTGCCCTGAAATCACTGGTCTGTGGTGGTTTACACCATGCTGGTAAGTGGAGGGAGGAGGGGCATGGATGGACATCTTTCCTTTAAAATACCCCTTTCCCTCTCTCCATGTTGGTGTTTAAAGGTAAGACCACGCCTTGCAAGTTTTGAAGCATCTGTATTGTGTGGCATAATTAAGTTATCCTAAATGAGACCTGAGACATTTTAACATCCTGAGGCAAGAAAGCTTAACTCTGCATGCAGAGTTAAGCTTTTTCTCCATTTTCCTCTCTTTTTCTCCATTTCCTCTTCCTCATACACCTCTGCAGTTCCTGGAATGATAAGACACCTCACCGCCTGGCTGTAATTGCTAGAACAGTTCCCTAATGCTTTTGCCTTCTCCAATTGCATTAAACTGCATTTTTAGAGGTACAGCCCTGTTTATTCATGCTGCTCGTGTGGAAGGGGAAAGAAATGCAGACTGCCTTTTTTCCCCTCTCTCTCCTTTGATTTGATGGGTGTGGCAGGTCTAAACCTTTGCAGCCGCTGGCTCTCCAGCGCTGGGGTGAGGAGGAGAGGGACCGAATGGGAGGGAAGCCGTCGTATACGGCTGGTGATGAATGAGACTCATCTCACCCACAAGTGGGAAACCTGCTTGCGGGTTATTGTTTAATCACTCATGCAATCCAATACTGAGCACATACCCCCATAATGTCCATCTGGTCTAGTATGCGGTGCATGCAACACTTGCATTTCTAGCCACCTATCTCACTATCCAGCTCTGCATGTTACTGCCTGCATCTCTTGCTGGCAGTAAGGGTTAAGTTCAGCTTTTCAGATATTGCTCTCAGCTGTGCTACCTTTCAGCTATTTTGTGGGCTCACATTCAGAGCTGCAGTCAACTGTAGGCAGAAATGACAACACCGAGCTATCTACATCTCTCATGGGTGGGCACAGTCAGTCAGATACTTCGCTCTTCACACTGGCATCGCACCCACAAGAAAGAATATCTGCAAGGTATGAGTGTGTGAACATATTTGTCTCTGAGGGGTGGGAGGATAGACACACACAGGCACACCTAGACACAAATGTGAAGAGATTTCTTCCACGCCCAAGCCTGTAATTTCAACATTTTGCTCTTTAGCTGCCAGAAAGGCGGGACAGCAGGGGCTTCCCCTGGAAAATAATTTGAGGAGAGCTGTCTTTATTTTGGGAAGGAAACTCCTGCCTCTGCTGAAGAACCCATTCCATATCTTTCTCTCTGTGAAAGGTCTGGGTGGGGACAGAGGAAGAGCACAAGCTGAAAACCAAGGTCTTTTTCTTCTCCAAATTAAAGCTTCCTCTGGTGTATCATCAGCTTTCCTGGGCGAACTGCTATATTGCCAGTTTGGCAGTTGTGGTGTGTATTCAGGTACAGGAGCAGCAACTGGGCTCTGAGCCCAGGAATATCCACTGAATATGCACAGGCAGGCACATTCAGGTTGTATGGCTGCATAAGGATCCAGAAAGCATGTGCGAGTGCACGGTGTGCCTGTGAGTGTGTGTGTAGTACAGACGCAGGCGGTCGGAGAGTGGAGATTGTGCTGCACATGCACGCGCAGAGGGGTGTGTACCATGCGGTGGATTAATGTACGGAGTGGGAAGAGAGGACTTGTGTGTGATCAAGATACCTGCATGCCATGCATTTCTAAATGTGACCGAATACAAAACGACAGGGGCAAACCCACACAGATATAAAGAACAGACACATCGGAACATAATTCAGGAGCTTTAATGCCCAACCCATGATGGTATGGGCAAAATTATCCCTCTCCCCCAATAGCTCTTTTCTGACTCCAAAGAATCCCAGAGCTACCGACTTTATTTTAAAATTTGCTGTGCACCTCTGCCTACTGCTCTGACACTTTGCCTCCCTGTCTGCCTTCCTTCTCCTCCTCCGCTCTTTTCATCCCATATTTGCCAGCAGAACGTGCTCTGCTGGCTGGCTGCAACGTGTTCCCCCCCAAGCCTTCACTACCTCCCTCCAGATTTTAGTGAGCATATCATTAATTGCAAAGCATTTGAAAAACCTGCATGAGGAAAAATACAGGGTGACGTAGGGTCTCTTTCTATCCCAACCACTTGCCCCTCCCCATTATTTTACAAATTTTCTCCTTCTCCATCTCCATTCAGAAATATACTTCAACCTGAATTTTCTTTCAACACTGCTCTGTTCCACAGTAACTGTAGTTACTCGCACCAGCATATTAGGCTATTGCTCCAGAATACTGAAGTGCTACATTGTAAAACACATAGAAATGTATGCATATTTAAGGAAAGTAACCAGTAGGGTGCTGTGCCTAAGACCGAGTTTTGTCCTCAGAACAAGGACCAAAGCTCCTTGTCACTATCTACAAATCTGTAATTTGTGGAAGTTTCAAAAAAACCTTACAAAGATATCTAGGGTCAGTTCCTGACTCAAAGTTCCAACTGCATAAATCCAGCATCCTCCCAAGCAAGTCCAAGAGGTTCAGCTAAAGTAGGCTCTCTTAATCAGGAGCAGGTTTTGGCTTTCACACAAAATAAAAAGGGAAAGGACAAGGGGAAAATTATCTAAGTAGCTTTTTTTTTTTTTTTCAATTTCATTATCATTTTGCACATAAATATGTTGACACTGAAAACTAGCCACCACCCAAACCTTCTCATCGTCCCAATTCCTTTATAGCAAAAGCCAGGCGGTACCGGTAAAGAAAAGGAACTGGTTTCCAACAGGTTCACACTGCGAGCTTCTCTTATCCCACCCGAGTTCGGAGCTAACAGAGGCGTGGTCCTCTGTCTCTTTACCAGCTGGTGCACAGTTGTCTAACTGGTTGTACTATGAAGGGTATTGCAAAGAGGGTGAGTCTCCCACTCCTCAGGCTAATGCTTTTGTTATTAATTAATTGGATTTTTCACTATAGCATAGGCTTAAAAAAACCCCAAACAAACCCAAAAAAGCCACCACAAACTCCTTCAGGTTAATTCTTGCTCAGATTGTTTTAACAAAAAAAAATTAATACACCTGTCCTCCGAGCCACCTCACGGCACAGGCACATAAAGCATCTCCCATTCATCAGAGCCAGGAGCAATAGAGAGCATTCTGACCAGGGATCAAGGCTCGCTGGGCATCCGTTCTTTTTTGGCATAAGATGAAGAATTGCTTCCTTTATCTCCAAGGTAGAGCCAGATCTCATCACGTTTCCTGCCAGCCGCACCCCCACCCCCCAATCCACACCCTCAGAACCACAGACAGAAAATCCTAGGCAATATAACTTCCCCCTATTAAAAAAATAATAAGAAGAATTGAGGGGAGATTCTGGTAGCTCCCCAAATGTGGATGTAGGCCACCCCCCTTCCCCACATCACCAGCCCCGGAAAGGCAAAACAGTCACGTTGCAGGGTGTGAAAAGAACCTTCAGTCGCAAGATGCTAAAGAATTGCAAAAGAGACGTCTGCTGAAAGCAGCTGAAATTTCCTCCCCCCTTCCCCAGCCGCTACCCCAGCCCCTCACACACTCAGGCAGACACGCACCCCACGGACACCCAACAGCCTGGGAGATTTCTTAACAGAAGGAAATATAAAAATCTTCAGCTCTACCTGTTTTGTTCTTCTCATACAGCACAGCATGATCGTATTGTCCCCTTCCTTCCTTCTTCTTCCTTCCTTCTCCTCTCTCCTTTTCCTCTTCTCTCTCTTATCTCTCCCCCCCACCCTCTCCGCTCCCTCCCTCCCTCCCTCCCTCTCTCTCTCCGTCTCTCTCTCGCTCACACACACATACACGCACACGAGCACACGCGCACACACACACACCAGGGCAGTTAGCAGCAACTGTAAGGTCCACAGCTATTGCTCATCACACATGCACACGCTGCCTCTCCCTGCCTCCCTCCCTACCCTTCCCAGAATTGTTCACCAGCTCTCCCTGACTCGTCACCTCCCCACCCCACCCCCACTCCGGCAGCCAACCCCCCCCCCCAAGTCCCTCACCAGCCTCATGAATAATTAAAATCTTCAATCTGGACCCAATTACCCAACGACTTTCCCACTGTACAGAGGCGACAGGGGAGAGGGGACACTGCGGGCTGCGGGAGGGCTGGGGTGTGTCTGGGAGGCACCGGGTGAGGAGGGGGACGAAGCGGGTGGGGAGCCCCCAACCCTACTCCCACCGGAGCAGCCAAAGCCCCCAGCCAGGGCCAGGAGTGGGATTTATGCATGAAGAAAGCGTGGGGTGGGGTGGGGTGGGCACAGAGGGGAGAATAGGGAAGGGGGATATTGCCATGGCAGGCGGTATATGCCATGCACAGGTGACGTACCATAGGTGGGAGCTGCGAGCTAAATGGGAATTGGAAAATATGTTAAAATGGCTGTTAAAAATCCCTCTCCCCAGCACACTGGAAAATATATATGCACGTGCTGCCTTCTTCCTATACACAGGCATAAACCCTGTGTGGGGATGTCCTGCAGCACGGAACAGGACAACTTTCCCCCTCGTTCCTTCAGTCCATCCCACCGATGTTCCACAGGCACAGAAAAATGATACTCCCGCAATACTTTTTTTTTTTGTTTGTTTTTGTTTTTTTTTTTTGTTTTTTTGTTGTTTTTTTTTTTACAGACTAGCTTCCAAACCTATAGAAATCATCCCTTCCCCTTCTGTGTAGATCTCAATTAATTTCAGTGTCGAAGTAATTTCTATGTCTATTGATCTCTGACTGCAAATTGCTCTAAACTATTCCGAGGAAGATGTGCCCGTTCACACACACAGCCACCCCCCCTGCACGTGTGGGAAGAGAAGTGTATGGGTTTGCATGCATAGAAGATCATGGCGATGCATGAGCCCGAGCGAACATTAATGCGCACATGCACTCCCAGGCACGCGTCCTGAAAGTTATAACACTGTGTTTTCTCGGAATACACATGAGCTGGACAGATATATCTGTCACTGTGAAAAAATATTCCAGACAACAGTTAAACCAAAGTATAACAACGTTGAGCATGTTAAAAATATAAAAAGACTGATGGATTTTTAGGATTTCATCTATCAAAAGTCAAATTTAGCTTATTTCATTTACTGAGTCTGGGAGGCACAGTCAGATGTTGTTCTCTTTTTTAGCACTAATGTCACTACATCAACTTCTCTGCCACACCATGGAGTTACTTCTAATTTATTTTTATTGTAAAACTGCCTGTAAAAGAGACAAAAAAACATTGTCTTAGGTTATTTTTAAGGTCTTTGCTCTTTAATTGCATCTAAATACATTATTAACACAAATATTCATGCACACGTGCACTTTTATACAAATAAACACATACGTATATAGATATACTTTCTGGAATACCCCTCAGTACAGACTCCCACATAATCATATTCAGTTGCTATGATATCATTGCAGTTCCCAGCACACCATTTATTTTAAGAAAAGCAAACAGCATTTCAAAGAAAATCTGGCTAGCTACCTTCATCTGTATGTAGTTTAAGAGAAGTGCCTTTTGAGGTCAAGAAGGTATCAGTGTTAGACCTGGTTTTACAGGTTAGAAAAGGAAAATAATTATATGGTAATGACATTCAGAGAAGATACATAACTGGGAAGAGTTGCAAGCACCAGCTGACACAGAAGTAGACCAAAGGATTAAGTAACAAAAATCAGATTCAGTTTCAGAAAATGCATGCAGAGAAAAAGAAGGCAAAATATAAAATCATAAAAGAAGTTAGGTAAGAAGTGGAGCAGTAGAAAGCAGTGGACATCAAATTTGAGGAAGGGATCTCTGTAACATACATCACTGCTGGCAACACCATGCCAAGGCACTGAGGAGCAGTGCAATGGCATTTTGAATTATGTCTATGGGACTTAGGAGCCTCTGCCCTGGCCCCAGGAGTTGCTGGGGGCTCATCTCCAAGATGAAGAAATAGTGTGACATGACCTTGTGGGCACCTGCTAACCCACAGGGCTGCTCCCCATTCCCTTGGGAGATGTGACTCCTCTGGTCAACCATGCATCTGAGAGCTTCACCCTGGTCTTCCTTTGGTGACAATGAAGAACTTTCAGGGTGTAATTCAGATCATCCTAAAGCAGGAGTCTAAACTAGGTCAGACAAATCACTCTTCAGAAGTGTTTTCAAAGCTTATTTCCTTCCCACTGACAAGGCCTTTTTAGGGAACTTCCCTGTGGTAGGGAGCCTTGCCGAGGAAAGCCTTCCCATCCCCCATCTTTCCCAGACACCCACCCAGAGGGGGAGCAGGCTGGCAGCAGAAGAGCAGAAGAGCTGTGCTTGTGCAGTAAGTGAGAATCAAGCCACCTTCCTGTGCTCACTCAGGGCAGTTCTCATCACCTTAAGTCAGTGCCAAAGGCAGAGCCACCTCTCTTCATGCCCAGCCCTATGAGCACTGTATGCTCTAGCTTATTGCAAACCACTTTTGGCACATAATCAAGCCCTTAATAGGTTCCCCATACATATAGACTTAGTGATGAGTGGCCAGTCCACTCTAGAGTCACATCTGCATTTCCTCTGAATTAATCTTCTTATGCAGAAGAGCCATAAGCCAAAACCCGAATTTTCGGGGCATATGAGCTCCTAACATCCCCCTCTTTCAAATCAGGACCCTTTAAGTATATAAAGTTGAACTTTAAATTTTTCAGCAAATTATATGGTTCTGAAAATCATAGCCCAGCATCCCTTGCCCTGCCATTTTGGCTGTTTTCACTTCAACCTGCAAGGTAAATTATCTTGTAACATGGAACAAAAAAAGGACAAGTCCATAGCAACGAAAAGGCCAAAAAGAATGGAAGAAATTAAAGGCACAAACTCCATCCAGGGAATTTATGAAAATCTGAAGCAAAATTCAAGGGATGAAGAGCAGGTGAATCTCCATTTCTTTAAGTCACCAAGTCAAGATGGGATGCTTTCATCCAAATGACACTTTTGTCTCTCCACTGCACTGCCATTCAGCACTCCTTCAGAGTTTCGGGATAACACTGCATCATGCAGTGTAGACATGCCCTGAAAGGCCCCTTTGACCTTGGCTTTTGAATCTACACAACTAAAAGCAAGAGCAGTTCCAAAGAATAACATGAATGGGGGACTAACTAGTGAAGGGAGCTGGAAGGAGGGGGTGAACAATGACCACAGATTTTAAAAGCTTCATCTGTGAGAACTGATTGAATGACAGCTAAGGAGGTGGAGAATTGTGATATTTTCAAAAGCTATGTGCCTCATGAAGGAAATAATTTGGAGTGATATGTAGCCCACTGTTTGGTGTAGCCTGCACGTTGCTTCATGGTGAAGGAGGGTATGCTTTGTATAAAGTAATTATTAAGACGACTCCTTTAATTCAAAGCCATGTCTTTGATTTAAAAGGTCCACATAATTTAAAAGTAATAAGATGTATTAGTGGTTGTTACAACATAGGGTGGGTGGAGTGAGAGACATAAACCGGTGCTTTTTAAGCCTGTTCAGTTCTGCTGCAAGGTTACCCCAGCAGCTCAAGGTCCTTACAAGTTGAAAGAAAAAGCATCTTCAGCCCAGCTACTAATTTAGGTTCAATAGCAACAGCTCAGATGCAGTTTTGGTTTGAAAAACCACTTAGTTTCAACCTGCTCCTGGGACTGTAATCAGGTTGATTCCCTGGCCAGAAAAAGCCAAATGGGACCAAGAAGAAGAGTATAGTTTGCCTATAAGAGCTGTCCCAATGGTAAGCATGCTAAACTGAAGAGGCGTCTCTGAGAGAAGTACTGTGAAAGTCCCGTTACTAGGGATATTTAAAGCTTCAGTAAAAACAGCTCTGAAGTGAGCGACTTGCTTTCATTGGGAGATAGACTGGGTTTTCTCTCTATTCATATCTTCCACATATAGTGGTAGCCTTCCCTTTTGTTAGCCAGCTTTCATGCTGAAAAGGAAAAAAGCCAATTTTATAAAGATTTTTTGGTATCCTCATTTGAATAGACATTCCTGAAAATCCCACTGTTGGACAACTTGCATTTTCAGTCTCCTCAGTAGCTTTGTGACTCTGGTATCATTTGGCCTCACTTTCAGTTAATGACACAAAACAGTGCAGTGCAACACTACAAATAAACTTCTTTTATAAATGATTTAGGCATAGTCATGAATCTTCTGGGAGGAGTATCCATTTTTCAGTATAAGGATCACTTATGACAATTTACCTTGGATTTCAGTTAATCCTGAATTATTAATAATAGAAAAGAAGAGCCTAGTTTATTTTGACCTAAGACTGTCCGTATGCCACAGACTGAAATAAGAGGTTTTAAACGCATGATTTTCAAGAGCCACAATGCCACTTACTCTTGCAGCAAAGGCTTCAGGAAGTTCCAGTCCAGGAATGCTCTAATTCATTCTGTGTCTTTAATGATTGCTCGGTTGCTCATCCTGCACAATACTGAGCACACGTGACATTAGCACCTGTTGCCATCATGCTAGTCAAAGAGATATGCACAGGTGCTCTGTATTTATTCCCTGTAATTTCCATTTTTCTTTCTATGCCTGCTCAGCTGTGCTCACAGCACTGAAGACACCTGACTTTACAATAGCAAACATAATAAGAAATGGCCTCAATAATTTCCCTTAGCAAAAGTGTGTTTTCTGTAAATTGTGTGGCATATACAAACTGGAATATCTACACGGGAGCAAGGATAGGCAGAATTTTAGCATGCACAAAGAATGGTCTGTAGAACCCCCAGGTCAATGTTCATTATTGTTGAGCTTCAGAATCATCAAAAATGCAAACATAACAGTTAAATCCCAGCACAGCTTAGTGCTGAAGACTGTAACTCTTCAGTAAAATGAAATCTGATCTGCTTGTCTGTCAAAAAAAATAATGTCATCACAGAGAGGAGTCAACCTACCAGCTATTATCCTCAGTGTAGTTATAGTCTTCCATGGGAAAATGTGATACTTTACAAGCCAACCCAAATATTAGAGAGGATGCCCCAGGAAGCCCCTTTTTTATTCTCCAGGGACCATTCAATATGTGCTGTTGGGTATACACAGCAGTCCCTTCCGCTGTAGCACAGGCTTAGCAAAGGAAGTTTTGAATGAGAATCAGGGTCAACCAGGAGCTCAGTGTGGGCCAGTTCACCCTGCTTCTCAGCATGGCTCCGTTCTATATTGCAAGTCCTGCAGTGCCATGACAAGCTGCTGTCAGCATCTAGGCTTACACCTTACAGTGACACGTGGGGATGTCTATGCTGTTCCATGCTGCGGGATGTGATGGGACTGGGATGGAGAAAAACATTACCCACTAACTACACACATGACTGGAGAAGGAGAGTCCGTCTTCAGTGCTGTTTTACTCCCCTCCTAGCTTCTTCAGTGATATATTGCCATTCCCGACACTGCAGTGCTGAATATGGGAGCTGCCCATTGATACCAGTATGATGACATGACAGTATTACTGTGTGAGTCACAATTTTCTGAGCTTTCTTTGGACCACCTGGCCCTGCTTTGCACCTGCCCACAATGCTCCTCATTCATTCCAGGGTGAGGCTGATGATGCGGCTGCTTCAGCACTGGGAAGGTGGGTGGGCAGGGATAGGTTCATCCTCTTCCTGTCCTGTCCCCTCAGCTGATCAGACTCTTTCTTCTCTCCAGTAAAGCAACTGAGTTGAGCTGAACCAGACTGCATATGGGAAGGTACATGGAGTGCCCTGGCCCCAGAAAGGAAATGGATGAGAGCAAAAAAAGCTAAAGACCTTCCTATGCTCTTACTTGGCACTTCATTGTCAGCTGTGGGGTGAAGTTACCAGGGGTGAAGAGCATCCAAGAGGCCAAATCTGTCCTAGCCTTTAGCCTTTCAGGAAAGGACATTAAAAATTTCTAACCATAGCCATGCTTCACTCACAGGCACATGGTGACCAAGCCATGCACTAATCAGGATCACAGCAGCAAACTCCACAAACCACACAGACAATTAAAGGATGTAGGAAGTACTTGTATAGGAGAAGTGATAAGTGATGGAGTAAGATGACAGGACCTTTTCACTTACCCAGAGCTGTACTTGGGGAGTTAGAACAGCAAAGACCTACCTGAATTATATGGGCAGGAACTGTAAACATCCACTTGCCTTTAAAGTTCAAATAACCCACTTTCCTTGCCATGGCTTCATTTAGATTTGCCACAAGATACCCCCTGAGAGGAAAGAGAAAAGTCCATATCCTGCAGTCTTGTCAGGCAGACGTAACATATGCAGAGGTTGTTCTCTTGCAGTGAGATCTTTAACACACAATTCATTGCATCTGATTCAAGTAGAAGAGCTCCCCACTCCAAAGTGCAGAGCACAGGGCTTTGACAGATAATGGGTCTGTACTTCAGTCTCACCATGGCCAAAATTTTTTTCATTTCCTTTAATTAGAAATCTGCTAGAAGTGGGAGATAGACCTATAGTGATTTTGATCCAATGCAGGATCAAACCTATATGAATTGCAGTTTGGGACTACAACACTCCTAAATGCTAAAAATTGCTCCATTTGGCCCATAAAACAATCAGTTGTGGAGAATGGAAATTCATAGTTAAGATTTGGATAGATTGTCATCCAGCAGCATCAGAGCTGTGTTTTGTGTATGTGCATTACAAGGGTTCTACGTTGTCAGAGCCACTCCATGCCCAAACTTCTCAATAGTGCCCTATTATCATATTATTATTTCTTTTCCAAGACTCCACTGTTAGCCAAAGGAATTCACCCCAGAGGGCAGGAAACACAGATGGAATTTTATGAAGAGTCCAGGGCTGCAGGCAGGAATCCAAATCTTCTGTCCCGTGCATGGAAACTGCATTACAGCAGAAGGCCCTATTTTAGCTCAGCTCTACAGGATACAGAGCTGTATTTCCGGACTGTGGTTTTCTGGAGGTTTAGAAGTTACTCCAAGCATAATGGTAAATTTTCTGTGTAAATCTGGGCGATTAGCTCCTTCCCAAGCAATTCTGGTGGCCAGGAGAAAGAGAAACTTTCTGGAGAGGGGCAGCCTAATCTCTCCAGGCTGTTACACAGTTCTCCTTACTACCTGACAGATGCTTTATACAACAGAGTGCCATATACCATGCACAACTGGCATTCTGACATGCTAAGAAAGCCAGTCTTGTTTCCTGCCTGCTGCCCCCCTTTCTTTGCCCTACAACCTGCATGAACAATTCACTCAGCTTGTCCCATCCTCCTGGTGTAGTTGCCTACAGCTCCCAGTCTCCTCTGCCCGATAGATGAGGTACAACCTGACACAAGTAGAGGCCAGAGAGAGAGCTTCTTAGCCTGAGGAAAGCAGTGGGAAGCAGCAAGGGAGGTGATAACCTACAGTCAAGAACACAGGGAGCTTTATGCCTACTCTGGTAATGCCACAGCAGACGTTGCTCCATGGAGGTGGAAAGGTCTCCTTCAGCTCGAGGGAGAAAGGAGTTAAAAGGCATTCATTTACTTCCTACATCAGAGAAGACAAGTGTGCTGATCTTGATGGTCTTCTCATGTGTGTTCATCTCAGCCAGGTCAAGTTAAAATTTATTTTAATATCTTATGCTATAAAATGGGAAGGGTAATTCTTCCTTGTTACTCTAATTTATTCATCGAGAGAGGAGGAAAAAGAAGTTCATTCTCTGTTTGTTATGAAAGCTAAGCTCAAATATGAACAGTGTTCCGTAGTAAATGATGGAGAGTTTGACAATCTTATCTGTATCATATCATCACATATTGAAAGGTTCTATTGTTAAGAATAGATACAAGAGAATACAATTTCATTTGCTTCAGGAACTGTAATTCTGAGCTTCCTCATTTTATAATTCTTTTCAAGTCAGGGATCTGTGTTTTCTCAGCATAGTCTTTTGCATGTTACTTCCTTGGGTACTTCCTAAAATGAAAATAAGTCTTTGTAAAGACAGAAAAGCAAATTTGTCCAGCTTTCTCAAAGTTAGTCACAGTTACAAAATAAGACTGGCATTGCTTGGGCTGCATCAGAAGCAGAGTGGCCAGCAGATTGAGGGAAGTGATTTTGCCCCCCTTGTCCACTGTCAGGAGCTCCCACCTGGAGTACTGTGTCAGCTCTGGGATCCTCAAGACAGGAAGTACACTGACCTGTTGGTACAAGTCCAGAGGAGGGCCACCAAGATGACTGGAGGGCTGGAGCACCTCTTCTATGAGGAAAGGCTAAGAGAAGGGGGGGTGTTCAGCCTGGAGAAGAGAAGGCTTCAGACTGATCTAACTGTGGCCTTCCAGTACCTGAAGGGAGCCTACAAGAAAATTGGAGACTATCTACAAGGGCATGGTAGTGACAGGACAAGGGGGAATGGCTTCAAACTGAAAGAGGATAGGTTTGGATGGGATACTAGGAAGAAATTCTTCACTGTGAGGGTGGTGAGGCACTGGAACAGGTTGCCCAAAGAAGTGATGGATGCCCCACTCCTGGAAGCACTCAAGGCCGGGTTGGATGGGGCTTTGAGCAACCTGGCCTAATGGAAGGAGTCCCTGCCCATGGCAGGGGGGTTGGAATAAGATGATCTTTAAGGTCCCTTCCAACCCAAACCATTCTATGATTCTATGATTCTGTTCAAGAACAGTCCTGAGTTCTGCCTAAAACTTTATATGTCATTAATTTCCTCCTCAAGGCTAAAACCTAAAAAGAAAAATAAATACAAGAAAATAAAACATTGAGTCCTCAGGCGACACCAAGCACAAAGAGGTAACAACCTGACACTGTCAGATAATCTCCATGGCACAGGCCAGGCCCTCCCCTGCTTAGCTATTAGTCATTAACAGGGCACACAGAGCAGCATGGTCATTGTCATTCTTGCATTATGCTCAGTAGTTACCAAGCCATGGCTTGGGGCACTGTGACACCCTCAAGGTCTTTCAGCATTTCCTGCAACTACTGGGAATTAATAGGCTAAAACTGAGCCCAACAGGCAGAGGAAAGTTGCTGAAACACAGAGCTCATTTAGTATTGTTGCTTGGAAGCCAGAGAAGGTTATTAATTCTTAGATCTTTGGTGAATACTGCCTCCTTTGTATGTTTAGTCATCCAAGAAGTCAAAATGGTCTCTCAAGGGATGCTGAGCTACCATGTCTGACTTAATTTTGATCACACTGTGCCCACGGAAAATGGGACTTTGGTGCATCTCCCTTTATACCACCTCATCAAACTTCTGCAGGCCCTTATTAGATCTTCTTCACACACAGTCCAACCTCACTGGCTCGAAATTTGTCACATTATTTCCCAGGATATCTACAAGTTCCTTCTGTGTAAGTACACTGGTGTCACATTCCAGGAAAATTAAAGGATGGGTCTGTAGTTTGAAAAATTAAGTCATGTTCAACATTAGAGTAAAGCCCTATTTCTCTTCACAGAAAAAATTTAGGAAATATTTGTTTTACTTTCATTGTCTTAAAACTGATCTTCAGTCCTATCTTACTATTACTTCCTTCAACATTCTATTTATTGCACAATACTTTCTGTCTTTCCTGTAGCAGTGAGGTAATCTACATATCAAAGCTGTTTGTGCTGGACATGTCATTTCACCTAATACTGAGAATTTCACAACAGTTCCTACAAAGACATTATTAAAAAGCATAAGAGATGGTAAATCTTTCTGCCCTCTCCTTCAATGTTATTAAGTGGACAGAAATTCTACTTGGTAGTCACACTCTTTTTTGACCCACAGAAGCCAAATTGGCCTAGCTTAATAACTTTACTAAAGATTTAAAATTCTTTCATTATATCGAGTGCAGTCATGTGTTTCTGTAAAATCTATCCAAGCATTCTAATTTGTTTTGTTGTGGGTTTTTTGTTTGCTTTCATTTTGGTTTTCTGTTTTGTTTGTTTTGATTCACTGGTAAGTGATTGGATCTGCTGTGAATTCTATCTTTCTAAGATCCTTACTCCTTCTTCCTAGGAGTTAAATACATAGAAGAATCAAAGCCAGGAGTCCTCAGATTGTCTAAAAGATGCCTTGATAAACATTAGTTTGCAGGTGGTTTTCAAATTTAGATGCAGAACCACTTGCTTTCAGCTTTTCAAATTTCTTTATAACATCCTAATGAACCTGATTCACTTATACTATCCTTGACTTTGAGCACATTTTCTTCCCTCCTCAGTCACCCCAGTCAAGGACCTAATAGATTCTGCTGCTTTCTTCTGATCTTGGTGTTCAATTACTCTTAAGTAAAGCTTGAAGTAAGTCAGCATTAGCTCCTGAAACAAATGGACACTTTCATGTACTTCGGGAAACAATTCTTTAACAGAAAGATGTATAAAGCTGACCAACAAACAACTCTTTCTCAGTGTATGTACACTTATGCTCTGGCAGCAGCATTATCTATTTTTTTTAAGACTTAGCCCAGAGTTCATATTATTTAAAAGCTATATGCATTTTCTTCAGTGTTTAGAAAGCAATCACTCATTTCTTTTTAAATTTCAAATAGTTTCATATCTGCTTTTCACTGCAGTGATATATTTACTGCTTCTAACATCCTTTGGGACCTTGATAAATTTACTTCAGTTTCTCAATTAACACATTCCTAAAGAAGAAAAAAAAACCCTCACCCATCTTTATTTAAGTCTCTTTGAAATACATCATAGTTCATCCTTTTTATTAGTCACTGACAAACATATCTGTACTTAAGGTAATTAATATTACTGTGTGTGATGAAGATGCTTTTTGAAATATTTAAATCTGATCCTTCTGAAGTCATGAGGCAAAACTCCTGTTCCATGCTCCTGTGGTAAGCAGTATCCCCAAATCTACCCTATGCTCTTAAAATTTCCTCTTTACTATACTATATACCATAAACTCTCCCTGACATAGCCATTGTCCTTGAACCTACATGGTCCCCTCATCATTTGACTCCTGTAGCCCCTAACAGCTTTTTGCCTAGCCATAAGGGAAGAAACAGAACTTGTCATGGCTCTCTCAGAATTAAGTTTTTTAAGATCATTTGTCAGGTATTTTCTTCTTCAGAAGGTATTGGAGCTACAGACTGTTACAGGCTGGAATGTTACCTTTGCTGGGTTTTTTATTGCTTCTCCCTGTCCCTAGTTTAGGGTTTTGAATAAAGAGAGTGGACTAGACGGACCGTTGGTCTACCCAAGGATGGTCATTCTCAAGCTGCCAAACAGACCAAGTAATAGTTGAGTTTCCCTGATCCTTCATCACTAATTTGAATCTTTCTCTGCCCTCTACCCAGAGATGATGTGGAGACTGAACTATCTTTGTGACTACTCCTCGTTGTCAAACATGGGTGGGATGAGATAGTGAGTTGAAGTCTCCTCGTGGACAGGGACAGCAATAGACTGACATTCTGAGCCCGCAGAATCACCAGTGTATTGGATAGTTTTCTTTGTTAATGTAGTGCACTTTTAACATAACTTGCTCCAGGGAGATGTTTCCAAATCAATGAATACAGTATTTCAGACCATTCAGAAGCTGCTCCTACAGCAGCTGGGTGGAAACATATTCCTTCTGCAATTTCTGGACTTCCCAACTGTTGTTGGGCAGCAATATTTAACCAAATGCTGTAGTGTAGGGCTTGTTTAGCCAATGATGTGTGTGATGCCTGTGGTGCCAAAGAACTGCTTTGAGCTACAGCAGTGTTAGAACTAACAACACTCTTCCAGGCTTTCCTACTCAGCAGGAAGCAGTCGCACAGCCATGCAAGTAAATTACAGGCTTATCATTCCTCATTCAAGCATCGGCACAGTCATTCAGCAGGACCCCCATGTCCCTACAGCAAGGACACAGAAATATAGTGGCTTAAACTGTACTATATATTTGTGCTTCACCTTATTTATTGCCCCTGCTCAGTAACTTAGCTTCATGGTTATTCAACAGGTGCCCTTTGAATAAGGAGCATGTGGCACAGAGATGACTGGCAGACAAGGCAGTAGAAAAGAGCAGTTTAGGAAGCAGTTGTTCTTATTATAAAGGGCAGCTAACTGATTCATCAGTGCCCTCCCCAGCAAACCATGCCATATAAATGTTATTTTGAAATTAGCCATGTGAAATAAGAAGGATTAGTTGGCAAGCTTGAAGTGTGAATACGTAAAGTCCTCTCTCCCTAAAGGAAGATAGGTTTTTTTTCCTCCAACTGCATGATGCATGGCTTCAGCTCAATTTATGATGTGTGCCCCAAGGCCGTTTTTTCAGCCAATTCTAGTTTAACAGAATTAGTAGGATTTTCACTCTCCAGCATTGGACTGGTAGTCTGGCTCTGACTCTCACCCAACGCTGGAGGAAGAAGGTAAAAGAAATAAGGTTGTAATCCAGCATAATAAGATAATGAAATAGAAGGAGATAGGAACCAGGGTTGCCTCCTTTTGTAGGTCTTGCAAGGAAAAACAGCAAATCTGCCAGGCTACAGATTGCTGTGTTAGCATGCAGTGAGGTTGAAAGAGCATATGGCAGGAGTGGCTGCCTGGCTGCAGTGCACCTATTGCCAGCCCGCTCATTCAGGGCTGTAGAGACAAGATAAAGAGTTTTTTTACTGCCCTGACAGCTGACAGGAACTTGTCATATTGCAGAAGCTGCTGAACCTCAGTCAGGGGAAGAAGGGGAAGGAAAGAAAAATCAAAAGCAATCACATACTTGGTGCATGCTTGTCTGATCTCCTGCAGGCAAGAGACAGGGTGAGGTCTCTCGTGTTCTGTGCACACAGCACCTAAGACTAAGGGGTGCTAACAAGTGCAACAAGGAGACAGCAGAAGGAGGTGCCGGAAGAATCTGTACTGAACTTTATTTCATGCTATACCCTCTTTTCAAATGACATGAGGAAATCTATTGCTGCTCAGTGTTAGCAAAACTGCTCTGGGATTTCCCTGTAACTACTCAAAATGGAGAAGAATCTGAGTCGGCAGGATCTTCCTTGCAGTGCTCCTTTTAAGTGTAGAGTTCATTCCCACAGCTCCAGAGTTGGGAGAGGGGGAGGAAGAAAATGTTTTTTTCTTTAGGGAAAAATTTTATTCTTCCTGCAAAATCAGTAATAGTTATTGGGCTGGAAACATAAACACAGCAATGTTTTAATTAAAATTTTCTGCAGAGAGCAGATACTTTCCCTTAGTCCATTTAGGGAAAAAAATTTAAAAAAAAGAATGAAAAAGTCCCATAGAACAGTTTTGCCTAAGTTTTTGAGCTCAGCTTCCTCTCTATTTAGTTTTAGTCACATGGTTTACACACAGTCCCTCTTCCAACTTCTTACCTTTACTGCTGATTCCAGGTAATTCATCACATAATAGGTTTTAGACTGTGGGCACTGCTGTGTGGCTGTGTCACTTCCATTCCCAGCAAACATGTAGCCAAACGTGCAGCTGTTTTCCCCACCAAAGTTAGTGGAAGCATCTCTCATATGGTGTTCTGCATCTTATCAGATCACACCTATGGGCTGCTAGTTCCTTGAGGCAGGAGAGCTCCTTTAGACAACATTAGATACAATGCTGGCGCTAGACAGATGTGTCAGCTCCTTTCATCTGTTAACACAAGTGCAAATAAAAAGAAAAATCTGACCTGGATTTCAGTAGTAGCCGGGACTAAACTCTAGATTCAGATCCAACAAGCAAGGCATTTTAGTCAGGTTTATGTGCGTGCCTTGGAACATAATGTCCTTAAAAACAGAATCTGGATTCACTTCTCATTGACATACTGTGTCAGTGACACATCTTCTTAATGTTCCTCTGGTGCTTGATTGTTCCTCATGTTTCCTCTGGCTTCACACAATAAAACATCTTTTGAACAAGCACCTTGCCATCTTGGAATCTGAATAAACTCAGTCTGTGCTTGAATCACTTAAGAAATGTAGGAAAGAAGGCATAAGAAATCTGCCAGCATGGCTGGAAGAGAAGCTTATCTTGCCTTGGCTGGGTTCACTTTTGTATTCCTCTCCAGCTTCTTTCCATCAACTGCTGTACCACTGTGTCCCCAAGGATGCTGACCCCAGAACAATACACAGCAAAGATGATTACAGTCTAAAAAGGAAAAGAAAACCCTGTCATCATGGATGTTATGGGTTTCAGCTTTTCACATTTAATCCTTTAATTGGTCTTTCTGGCAAGAAGAATTTGATACTTGGCTTTATTGCTGCATGGATGAGCCCTACTGCAAATCCCATTGGGATGAAGTTACAGTCATTTGGCAGTAAGAAATTCCATAGCAACCTCTCAAAAGCCTACCCAGAGGGTTTCTTGTTGACATCACAGTTTCTGTGTGATGTCATAGTGACTCCTAGAAAACAAACAGAAAAAAAAGCAGCAGGACCTCCGTATATTTGATGAAACTGAGGATAGTCCTTACTCTGCTATTGTATGTATCAAGAGATATGTCAAAGGAGAGTTTGGGTCCTGGCTTGAAGCCAGAACATTGGTGAATGCAAAATAAGATTAAGAAGGTTGAATACACTGTATGCACAGTAATAAAATATTGTAAAGATATTGTGTGCTGGACAAGAGGGAGTCTCAGATGTCTTCCAAACTTACATACTATTGTTTTATGAACAGTTTTATAGGTGACCTGTGTGTTGTTGGGCAGACCCAGAGGAGGGCTAAGCAATTTGAGCAACAGACTCTTAGGAGGAGACACTTTTGTCTTATGAGAATATACAAGTATGTTGCCTTGGAACCTCCTAGCTAAACATTTCAATAAAATTTAATCTTGCATGCCCCAGGCCAAGAGTGATAGGAGCTTCTTTGCGTTCCAAATGAGCAACCCTTGAGGTCTGGAAGAGAGAAACAACTTCATTTAGAACAAAATGAAATATGGGAGTTCTGATTCATAGTACTATTCGTTAATGACTGGTAAATCTTTCTTCACTAAGATAAGGAAAGAATCAAGTCATTCCAATGGGTGCAATCCAAGATAGAAGTATAATTTCTTCTGAGTTAAGAAGTTCCTGAATACAAAACTAAAGATTTGGCCCTAAAAGCCCTTCTCAGGTCAGTCAGTTTGTGCTGATGTAACTAATGAGACATCTGGACCCATTGTCATGAAAAGAGAGCAGATTAACACCTATGAAGCTAAAAATAAAAGCATCACCTCTGAGGTTGGACCTATTGTGCTTATTGCAGGGGGGTGGGGTAGGATTGGTAGAGCTGTGCGTCCATCGTGGATGTCACCATGGCACACCCACGCCAACATCTCCACGGAGACACAGCACATTTCTAGCTCCTGCATCACCAACTTGTTGCCAAGGAAACAAGAGGATGCAAAATAAAATAAAAAAATTAAAAAAAAAAAAAGAAAAAATCTCAATGACATTCAATTTTGAGACAGTTAAGAAATCCCTGAAAGGGATTCTAAAGTGCTTCAGAAGGAAATGGAAATTGGGCTTCTAATTACAGATTCTCAACCAACTCCTTTTTATTCCCCGGTTATTCTGTCTGCTCACGTCACTGTCTTCCTGCCATTCTCTGTCTACAGAGGTACAAATGCCAGACATCAGTGAAAAAAGAATCAGAAAGAGCTTTCCTGGAGTGAAGGAGAGGAGGGAGGGAGAGTGGGGGAGAAGGTTACTCAGTACAAGCAACAGTGGAGATTCCATAACTCAGAGAAAGGTGGTGGACAGAAGTTGCAGAAAGGGAAATGTGTGGAAGAAAGGCAGAGTGGGAGAGAAGGGTTCTGTGAGAAGGCAATATGTGCAATTGGCAGGTGTGGGAGTACACATGTATATCCACACCAAAATGCATGTGTATTTTTATATATGCAGCTGAGAAGGTACGTGTGCATACAAATGGATATCTAAATCCACCCTGAGTAATTAAAAACCAGAGCTGTGTACGCTCCAAAAAATGAGTAAATTGACTTAGAAATCAAGCAATTAAACAAGAAAGAGTATGTCTTCTAATGTTGTTTCTTTTAATCCATTATAGCACTACAAGCTTTCTCCAGAACCAGAAAAGCTACAATTCTGCATCTCTTTTTAAATGACAGCCAACATTTTCATGCAACCACTTGACTCTAGGAGCTGTGGCTTTGCAGAAAAGGAGCAAATGTAAGAAGAATCACAAGAAGGTGCTGAGAGGTGGCAAGCCTAGCAGTGCACATAAACACAAGAGCGCTCCAGAGAACCAGCAAATGCACCTGCTACAAAGTGTATGAGAGTACAAGGTGGAGTATGTCTTGGGTGTTACTGTGCAGAGAGACATGGCCACCAAGACAAGATGTACAGGTGTTGTCCAAGCATAGCAGAGACACATTGCATGACCACTGAAACAAGCATGGTCCCAAATTAGACACCCTGGGGAATGAGCACAGAGAAGATTAACTGTTTGAGTAGATGCTTGCATATCATCTTACTTGGGCATGAGAGATAGGGAAAGTTTCATCATCTGACAGCACAAAGCGGCCCAGTTGTTCAATGGCTATCCTGAATGGCTACCGGTATGGCTTGCTTTTGGGCTAGTGCTGAAACAGATGAAAGAGCTCTATCTTCACTTTCTTCTCTTCACTATTCACAGAGTCTCACCCTTCTTCATGCCTCAAGCCTGTCATGAAGCTTGCAGCCAGAAGTGAGATTGCTGTAGACCAAGAAAGGAAACTTACTAGAAGTTAACTATTACTGAATTGCAACCAGGGTCTTACAGAATGACACAGAGAAATCCCAGTTAACGCCAAAGAAGTTTATCAAGGCTGAATACCTACGGAATTCAGCCTATGGATTTATGGCTATAGATAGTAAAAGGCTGTAAGGTTTGGACTTCACCCCAGGTAGACAAGAACCATTGCTGACCAAACATGAATATCCCTTTGTGCCCTCTACCAACTTCTTCCTGCCCCTTGCACGCGCCTTTGCAGGCCTCAGTAGCCTCTACCCACTTTGAGGCAGATTTTCTTCCCCTTGCTAGAAGCAGGTGTGAAGGAGGATGCCAAGTGCTTCTCTACAAACCCGTGCGGTGACAGTCCTGGCAGTGCAACAGCTTTTCCTAAAGTTGCCATGACATGGAAGTGATGGGCATATGAATCACAGTTGTAGAGAACACCAGCCTACGTACAGATGCTGCATTCAGATTAACAGAAGCAAGTCCTGACCATCCAGTTCTCCCCTGCTTACTGTATGAAGTAGCTTGGAGTATCCAGTCACCTCAGGGATTATAAGCAGGAGAGGAGAGGGAGACCACTTCTTACATGTATGCAGCAATATAGAACCGCAGGAACACAAGCAACCTAAATGATGAAGCCAAGGTCAGATTTTAAGCAGTTATCTGTGGTCCACTTCAACTTTGTTCCTGAGTAAGGTGACAATAGTTAAAATGACTAAGCTGCAGGCCATAGTAAGTGGCCTCTGATTTGTGCTCCAGTGCCACACTACCTGGCAGACTCAGCCCTCATCCACGGAAGCAGAACACAGTGTGGGCACATCTCAAGGGGCCATCGCCCCCCAGCAGAGCTGTAAAGACAGTTGGTGTTGGTGCTGAGAAGTAACTTTGGGTAAGATGTAGGGTGGCAGAGATGCAAGGGCAGTTCAAGCCAAGGAGAAGACACTAGAAGTTTATTTTCTCTCTTCAGCACGTAAAAAGAAATATCTGAATGCTCTATCATATGTCTCAGTCATACTTTTTCTCTAGCATATCCAAAATGTTACCTTTTCTCAACGTAGATAAATACACCATGCACATGACTACTTTATGTATTAAAAAAAAAGGAGTGCTTTTAGAAGGCAGTTTAGATTCACAAATTACTCATGAAAAAGGATATAATGCATTCTTTTTAAAAATGCATGTATATATCACAACTTACAGCTTCTGAATCACCACAGTACATGTTAATGTTTCCTGGAAGGAAAGATGTTTTTCGGTAACTTACTGGTTTGAACAAATTTATCATGAAATACCCATCAAGTGTGAATATAATTTGCTTTGGGCAAAATACAGTTCTGATAATTTTTGATTTTTTTTGTTTGCTCCAAGTGCTGTTCATCAATGAACTGAACACTTATTCCATCTAACTCTTTTTTTCAGGAGGAATTTTATAATTCACATTTCCCTATGTATAGCTTTCCCTCTTCAACAAATATTTGAATAAGAATTTTTAAATGTGCTTTGAGTTAGAAAGTATAAAATACTCTAGGAAATTCCAAAATTTTGGGAAAATGTTTCTGAAACACTGACAGTGGCTTATTTTGTAAACAAAATTGAAACAGAATTTACAAATTATCTAAAATACATACAGACATACATAAAACATACATGTTGTGTTATTTTCATAGCTTTGTGAAATAGACATACACTGTGGCTTTCTCTCTCTGAGGACACACAGAATTGCTTTCTTATATTTAATATACACAGTATAGGCTTTCCTGTTCATATGCATACATACACATGCATATATACTATAACACACTGCATGCCTACAATGCATATACACCGTCATCTTGTCCTCTAAACACACACAAACAAATCTCCCCTTTAACATAAGGACAGCTACACACACACCTGCACAATGAAATCTTTCTAACACAGAGGCCATGAAAACACAATTTTATCTCTCTCTAATACACAGTCATTCCTTTTTTCTAACACAATGTAATCTCTCACTTTCTTTCATACACACAGACACATAAACAGACACATCCAGTGTAATCTTATCTCTCTGAGATTCAACTATAGTAACTATATTATTTTCAAAATTGCATAAACATTTTCTGCCTGACATTTTCATTTGTAGACTCCATCATTCACAACTACACAAGTGATTGCAGAGATGGGAGGATGTAGAGGGAAGTCCTTGATCACGCAAATGCCTGTCTCTTAGGTAAAGAGGCCTTTTCTGGCAAGACTTTGTTTTACAAGGGAGAAGACATTATAAGAATGTTTTCACTTTGGATGCAGCATTAGTTACACAGTGCTTCTTGTTATGATATTACACCACCAACAAATAGTAAGACACTTAAACAGTTTGATAAAAAAATGTCTGCTAGATTACAAAAAAGATTACTTCTGTATTGCTATCATTGTCAAACACTTCACTGATACGTTCCACAATACGTGCTGCAAGCAAATTACAATATGCAGTTACACTGATATTTCCTGTGACATATAATATGCAGTAGGCCCTGAAATTTCTAAAGAAAAAAAAAAAAAGATGTATAGAGG